TATGAATAATGTGGGACAACTCACAAGTGATATTCTAACACGCCCCCTCACTTGTGAGTCCTTCGGAAGCCCAAGCCCAACTGGGTTGGGTGCCCCAAGCCTACTATAAGTAGACTCCCATAAACGGGTACGTGGGGAAGCAGACTCCCATAAATGGGTAACTTCATCGCACGGTCCCAATAGAACTGGCTCTGATACTATGTAAGAGACTGGAGGAAAAATGAGTGCGGTCCCACTAACATGAAGCGCACCATGAGAGGGGAAAGCTCATATGAAGCTCAAATGGGGTTCCATCCCAAAACCAATTGGTGGAAAGAGGAGTAGCCCGTTAGACTTATAAGATGAGTCTATTTTCCATGTATGAACGATGTGGGACAACTCACAAGTGATATTCTAACACGCCCCCTTACTTGTGAGTCCTTCGGAAGCCCAAGCCCAAGCCCAAGCCTACTATAAGTAGACTCCCATAAACGGGTACGTGGGGAAGCATACTCCCATAAATGGGTAACGTCATCGCACGGTCCCAATAGAATCGGCTATGATACTATGTAAGAAACTGGTGGAAAAACGTGTGCGGTCCCACTAACATGAAGCGCATCATGAGAAGGGAAAGCCCATATGAAGCCCAAATGTAGTTCCATCCCAAAACCAATTGGTGGAAAGAAGAGTAGCCCATTAGACTTATAAGGTGAGTCTATTTTTCATGTATGAACGATGTGGGACAACTCACAAGTGATATTCTAACACACTAGTTTGCAAAAGCACGACTCATAGCGAAATTGGGCCTGGCTTACAGTGGACTGATTTGCTAGCTTATATGCTTAGTGGTCTACTCCTCTTATCACCAATTGATTTTAGGATGCAACCTCACTATGGTGCACCTACGCCCACTCTCTTATGGTGCGCTTCATTTGCGTTGGACCGCACTCTTTTGCCCGGTTCTCTAAATCTTACAAAGTAGGATAGAAGAATGAGAAAAAAAAAAAGTTATGACATGATTTTTCAAAAATTCAAATCTCGAGTGACACTGAAAAATGTGACAATGTATCTCCTATTGTTATACGACGCTCACATCCAATCATTGTGTCCTGTCTCATTAAAGGCTCAGATTCCAAGAGACATGTCTACGCAATATAATCGCATTACACCCCTTCATTAAATGTTCTTATATATGGAGATAAACTTCTTATCCACTAAATATAATCGTCATGCGGTCGACTACAAAGGGTGACGACAAGATTACAAGATATAGTTTTTCACGCGACTTAATGATCCTTCTCCACTTGAAAACCTAGGGGTCTCTATGTTGTACCTAAGGCTTCTGATCACGAAAACTCCCTAAGGCTGGAAGCCCAAACATATTAAACAAGATCGACTATATTTTGCGAGTGACCCAATATTGTAGGGTTACGGTTGTTGATTCCCTGATCGGCCAGTCGATCGCCCCTTCAAGTCTGAAAAGTAATCTGGTAAAGCTAGTGGCACCACCCAATCCGTCTCATCAAATCATGTGAACACGAGCCGCCACCCTACATACGCCCCTAGCTGGCGTCCATCATTTAATGTGTCATCACCCTTTTTGTGTATAAATATTGACCCCAGGTCCATCTTCAAGGCATCACGATCAGGATATATCAAACGATCAACCCAACATACAATCCCATATACATACTCACCATACATACTCACTCACCATCACCATATTCGAATGTATTCTTTACATATATCATAATAAAATTCAACAAAAATAATTTTCTTGTCGATCGCCACAGCCTATTGACAATATCTGTCTTGCTTTTTCTTTTTTTTTTTTTTGT